GGCCCCGGCAACCAATGGGAATGTGGCTTCGCCCTGGCCGGCCCCGCCCCTGCCCCGCCTGGCCCCGGCAACCAATGGGAATGTGGCTTCGCCCTCGCAGGCCCCGCCTCTGCCCCATATCCCGCCTCATCATATATCATGTCTTGAACAGTCTTCCAAGTCCCCTCGGCTTCAAGGTCTCATTCTCAGGGGACCTCTGCCCACCCCACCCCGTGTCCTTCTACTGTGGGGACCGCCCCCCTCATCCAGCTAAGAGCTGTAGCTGTGTCCATGTAAGGGGTATGCCTCAATAAAACAGTCAATGCAAGAGCACTGGGTATAGGAGTACATGCCTGTAATCCCAGCCTTTGAGAGGCTGAGATCGGAGGATCGCGGTTCAAAGCTAGCCCAGGCAGCAAAGACTGTGAGACTTTTATCTCCAATAAACCACTCAGGAAACCTGAAGTGGCGCTGTGGCTCAAAGTGGTAGGGTGCTAGCCATGGGTGAAAGAGCTGAGGGACAGCACCCAGGCCCCAAGCCTCATGAACAATAATAACAACAAAAAAAGACCAGTCTGGGCTACAAAGCAAGTTCCAGGCCAGAATGGGTTATAGAATGATGAACTTTCTCCTTAAGCGTCCAAAATAAATAAATAAATAAACCAAAACTTTGTACAAAAAAACCATGTAGGGGCTGGTGGCTCACAGCTGGAATCCTAGCTACTTTGGAGGCTGAGATCTGAGGATCACCTTCTGAGTCAAAGCTAGCTCAGGAACAAAAGTCCATGAGACCCACCCCCAATTACCCAGCAAAAAAAAGCTGGAAGTGGAGGCTTGGCCCAAATGGTAGAGCACTATCCTTGAGCCAAAAAGTATAGTGCAAGCACAAGGCCCTGAGTTCAAGCTCCAGTCACAACACACACACACACACACACACACACACACACACACACACACATCAAACTGTGGTTCAGCCATATAATAGAATAATACTCAGCCACGGAAAGGGATGAGAACAGTATTTTGTATACTAAGAATACTCAATATGGATGAATTTTGCACACACTATTGTTGAGTGAAAAAAGGCAGACACATGGGGCTGGAAGGTGGCTCAGTGGTAGAGCGCTAGCCTTGAGCTGAAGAGCTGAGGGACAGCGCCCAGGCCCAGAGTTCAAGCCCCATGACTGACAAAAAAAAAAAAGAAGCCAGACACAAGAGGTTACACGCTGCTCTGTAACCTTTGCTGGGCCAGAGATCAAACCTAGGGCCTCCTATCACCAATACATTTCCAGCCCTGAAAGGCACACCACTGTCCCTTGGTATGCCCGGGCTGGCCTCTGGCCATGATTCTTCGTCTTCCAGATAGCTATGCCGCAGCATGGCTGGCTTGTTTGGAGATGGGACGTGGCTAGCTCTTTGCCTGGGCTGGCTTTAAAACACCATCCTCTTTTTAGCGCTCTAAGATTACAGCTCTAAGTCACTGTGCATGATGCTGATTTCCCTGTTTCATTTCTCCCCCAATAGGGTCTCACTGTGCAGCTCAGGCAGATGCTGAATTGAGATCTTCCTGAACTTGAGAGCTTCCTGATCATCCTGCCTAAGCCTCCTGAGTGCTGGGATTTTTTTCTGAACTTCAAGAAAAAAAAAATCTTTTTTTTCATTGGTACTGGAGCTTGAACTCTGAGCTGGTGCGACCCCTGAGCTGTGGTGCTCGGGGCAACTATTCTAGTACTACTTGAGCCACAGCTCTACTTCTGGCTTTTTGCAGGTTCCTTGGAGATAAGAATCTCATGGCCTTTCCTGCCGGGGCTGCCTTTGAACCTTGATCCTCAGCTCTTAGCCTCTTGAGTAGCTAGGATGACAGGCGAACGCCATGGTTGTCTGGCGCCTTGAATCTTTTTATTTCCTTGGGCTGTACTGGGTTTTGAACTCGGGGACTTGCATTTGCTAGCAAGCAGTCTGCCGCTGGGCCCCGACCCTACCCGAGCCCTGCCCCATCATTGGCCCCGCCCTCAGCAGAGCCCCGCCCACTACTGACCACACCCTACGCCCAGAGCTCCGCCCTCACCAAGAGCCCGGCTCTCATTGAACCCCGCCCTGGCCAAAGCCCCGCCCACTACTGGACCACGCCCACACCCAGAGCCCTGCCCCGCTAGCCCCGCCCCCGCCCCATGTTGTCTTTGGAACTGGGTCTCTGTGTTCCCCTGGGCTGGCCTGGGACCTTGGAGAAGGAACCCTGCCTCTCGTGGGCCTCAGTTTCCCCATCGGTGGCCTGGGATCGGGAGCCCGCACCTGGCTGGCCTTGGCGTTGACGTCCCCTAGGCGGAAGAGCTGGTCCACCGTCTGGATGTCGTCCTGCGTCTTGAGCGTGGCCAGCGCGGTGAGCATGATGGGGCTGTAGCCGGCGCGGTTCTGCTTGTCCACCTGGCACACACCTGAGGGGCGGGGCGCGCGGGGTCAGAGGTCAGCCCCCTTCCCGGGGTCCCCTGGGGGCTGGGTTATCTGGACCCCTTTTCTCATAAGGAAAGTCCCATCCATGGTGGCGGGGGGGGGTCTCCCCTTCAAAGAAGGGCTCCTAGACGGGGCGATGGTCAGGTTTGGGGTGTCTCAGGGGCAACCCTGTGAATCAGCCTTCAGACCGCCCGTGTCGCCCCCATTGAGGGCGCAGGCCGGAGGCCACACTGTCCCCTCTGACCAGGGCTCCGGGCGCGGCCTCCACCGGGCAGCACGCTCAGGGTGGGCGACGCCGGGGGATGGCGCTGCCCGGGCTGCTGTCCGCTTCCCTCGGACTGCGAGGCGCACGTCCCGCATCAGAGGCCGGTGAGAGCCTCCCCAGCAGACAGGGAGGAGGTGCCGCCTCCATCGGACCGGGAAGGCGAGGCCTCCTCCCTCCGACTGGGGAAGGGCGGCCTCCTCCCTCAGGCAGGGGGACTGGTGCCTCCTCCCTCAGGCAGGGGGACTGGTGCCTCCTCCCTCAGGCAGGGGGACTGGTGCCTCCTCCCT